TCTACATTTAGAAGAGTTGCAACGCTGAAGTGACCTTCGCGTTTGATGTTTGAAACGTGAGGTTCGGGCTTTCGTGACGCTGGCTCAAGCTTTGCACTTGGGAGATTGAACGCGATAGTGAGCTTCACGTTTTGGAGATGGTTGGGATTCACTCCTAGAATCCCATGCCATCTTAACAGCTTGGCGGCTGTTATAAATAGACCTGAATGGTCAAATCAAAAGTCACTTGACTTTCAAAACTTTCGGCTATTTCCAAGAACGAGAACTCTCGTTTGGTTACGGCGAGATCTCTGACGAGCTTCGTCTCCCTCGTTCAAAGGAGTTTCCTCCGATCGACTGCATCAATGGCGCCTCGGAGGACGGGTTCGAACTCCAAGAAAGTCGCTGAAGCGACTTCCGACACGCCGTCGGCTGAGAACGCCGGCGGTGTTCTTGTCCATGCGAGAACCTTGCCGTCGACATCGCCACTGCAGGGGCCTCCCTGTCGTGGTGAGTGCTGACCAAAATAACTTGCCTTGGCAAGTTCTTTGAAAACCCTAGATGGGTTCTTGATAACGAGGAAGATGACTCGTTTTAGTTCAATGAAAACGCGGGGTTGGGATACCCTATGGGTCTCGACCCTCGCGTTCAACTTGTTCAACACAAGGTTCGACTCTCGCGTTGGAGACTTCTGACGCGAGGCTCGACCTTCGCGTTGGAGATTTTGACACAAGGCTTTACCCCTTTGTGTTTCAGACTCTGTCTTTATGTCGATAGCTCGCTTCTAGCTGCTAACTTCTGCTTTTGATTATGCAGTGTTTCTCCCAAACGTGCTGCTTTCACAAGAGCACCATTTCGGATATATTGGTGGACCTGACCTGAATGAATTATTCAGTCTTCAGAACAGGATTCCATTGTGTACTTTTCCTGATTCGGAAAGAGCGGAAACGATCAAATTCCCTCAATGCTCTACTCTCAGGATTTTGATAACTGACTTAGACTTGGAGACCCCTGTTGGTCATGCCCAGTTTCCTAAACCAGCATTCATATTTGG